TGACAGAGAGAGAAAAGTTCCTTAAAAGGCTGCAAACGGAAGACAGGGAGAGGCGTCCTATGGGGACTGTTTTTAAGAAGTGTAGTGTATAATATATGTATTAAAAATGGAGGCATTTTCAGCATTCTGAATTGTCGAGACATTCTTACAGAGGAGATTAGTTGAGAGTAGGGTTCAGAAGGCATTTCTTCATAGATGTGAGCCCTTTGGGAAATTATTACTCATGCTCCAACTGTCATCATCCAAAATTGGATAAAAATATTCCATCTTGTTTTATGAAAAAGAAACATAATGATGCATTTGAAGCAATTATCAGTCTGGATGCGTAGTTGCTAAATAAGAAATTAGCTTCATAAATAAGTTATTAGTTTAATAGGAATCAAGTAAGATAATATCTAAAGTCCAAAGATTGTAACCATTTATTATTTCCATAAAGACAGGTTTTATGTATATATTCCTCACCTCTGAAGCCTTGCAGAATGTTTTATATTTAGCATTAATTTACATTTATTTGAAAGAACAAATGAAGGATACATTGTGAGGTCATTGGTGATTTTAATTTGATTTGTCACAATGACATAGCAGGAACAGAAAGTGGATCACAGTGGATTTAAGGATGGGGTAGGGTTTGTATGTGTGTGTGAGTTGATTCTGACTTGGTGACCCCATGTGACAGAGTAGAACTGCCTAGATAGGGCAGTTTGGGTGGAGAGAAGAGTTCTAGTTAACTCAGACTATACAGTTAGGCAATACATTAGATGTGTTATTTACATTTCATGAGTTTTAGTTTCTTTGCACATAAGTAGTTGTCTACCTCAGAGTGCCACTTAAGAATCAAATAAAGTACAGTTTATGTTTTCCCATGTGTAAATGTACTCTGAAAGATATTTTCTTCCAAGTTGGCCCTCAATTATTGTTCACTATTGTATTCTTTTGGAAGATGCAAGTAACATAAGAAAAGCCAGAGTAAAGATTCCTTGATGGAGTTAAGAATAATGATTGTATTTCTCTTATCTTAATGAGGAATGATGTGAAAGATGCTTAAAACAAGATCCTTTTTGCCTGTAAAGCATAGTCTTGGTATGGCACTGTGGGTTAATGTGCTGGACTGCAAAGTTGGTTTGAACCTCAAGGTTAGAGGTTCAAGCTCACCAACTGCTCCTTAGAAACCCTATTATGGGGTTCATATGGGTCAGAACCGACTCGACGGCACTTAACAATTTTTTTTCTATTGTTGAGAGAAGGGTATTAATCAGGGAACCAGCTAGAGTTCACATAATTGTGTATAAAGGTTCGGTGGGCAGCAAGCACTGTGAAAGAATCTAGAGCCTGGCCCAGCATGGAGAATGTTTAGTATAATTGTAGAATTAATGACAGGCTGAGGAAGGATATTCATGGAAGCAGCAGTCAAGAAATTGAACAATTTATTGCATTAGGCAAATCTACTGCATAAGAGCTCTTTAAGTAAAGTTATCAGCCTGAGTTCTTGTCCTTAGGTGTCTCTGAGAGAGCTAGCCTATGACTGTCTGCAGGTACACTGCCTTTGCAGAGTCCCAGTCCTGACTCAGTCTCAAATCCTTGTCCTTAGTCCTCCATCCATTTGAAAGCTGGTGTATCAGAGACAGAACACATAAACCATGCTAACCTTTCCACCTCACTTGCCCTGAAATGTAAGTATATTCACCTACCCAATTTGTTGTTTTGCACTATGTCTTACAAACAGGCTTCAAGCGTCTAACTTATCTGTGAACTTGTTTCTTGAAAAATCATACTGATAGTGTACTTGGAAGGTAGTGATATCCCTGCATCACAGTAATTTTCTAGACTCTTAACCTTTACATTTCTCAAGGACACTTTCTCTGATCAGAGTTTAACCCAAAATGGCTCCAGCAAGGAGACTCACCACCAGCTGCTACTGCTTTCAATCAAGTTTCACTTCTACCTCACACCAAGTAACCTATTCAAATGCTTACATTTGGAGATCCAGTCGAACCAACTTCCTGTGCCAGCTTTTGTCTGCCCCCAATTAGCTTCTTTCTTTAACAAATTCTCTTTATCTCTTGCTAGAGGCAAAGCTGACGTGGCCCCAGGAGGCGTGCTCAATATTTACTGAAGTCCTCCCCCATTTCCCTGTCTGTCTGGCAGTTGTCGGGACTTTACCTTTGGCTTCAGTCTTGACCTGCTTTTTTAGTTTACCCCAGTAATAAATAGAACCCAGGCTTTTTTTTTTTTTTTTTATGTAGAATTATGAAACAGAACTAATATCTCTTCAAGAAACAGGTGCTTGGAATGTACTTCTGAGATTTACATCTTAAGTGAGATTTAGAAGATTCAGACCAGTTCAATCTAATGTGCTTCTTTCCCTTAAGGTATAATTGGAAATGCATACTTAAATGCTACAAATTTAATTTATAAAAAAACTGAAATATAATAAAATAACTAAAAGCGATTTTGGAATTAACACCTATTCTAAAGAAATTTTAAAAGATGGAGAGGGTGTCCGGAGAATTTAGAAACATTTTCTTGCACCTTTTAGGAGCCCTGATAGCACAGTGGTTAAAGTACTCTACTGCTAACCTGTCAGCGGTTTGCAACAAGTCAGCTCTGCTTAAAGATTTATAGCCTTGGAAACCCTATGGGGCAGTTCCACTGTTCTACAATATCAGAATGAGTTGCAGGTGGGCTTCTGGGTCTTTCCACCATATTTTTGCTAGAAGTGAGATCATTTAAAATATACTTACTAATTAAGATTAAAGACCACAATATTTGATAAGGTGTAACTTTTCACATTAGATAACGACTGTTGTTAAGTGCCATCAAGTCGGTTCCGATCCATAGCAACCCTGTAGAGGGTTTCCAAGAAGCAAATGGTGAGCTTGAACCACCAACCTTGCAGACAATGAATAAGGACTAACAGAAAAATTGATGCATTTGAGTTATGATGCTGGAGAACAAATCAGTCTTGGAAGAAATAGAGCCAGAATGCTCCTTAGAAGCAAGAATGGCAAGAGACTTCATCTCATTCTTTGGACCTAGTATGAGGGAGCAGTCCTTGGATGGCATTATGCTCACTGCCAAGGAGAGTGAGTTAGATGGATTGACAGCGGCAGCAACAATGGGCTCAAGCACAATGAAGATGACCCAAGGACCGACCCTGTTGTGCATAGGGATCACTAAGTTGGAACTGATTTTAGGAAAGGACTACTCGGCATTTAGGAATATATTTTCTCAGCCTTTTCTAGCCTAAGGTCAGTTTTTCTCTAATATTTAACTAGCATAAAAACATCTTTTTAGGTATTAACTGTATTTTTTGGATTCAGTATGGTATATACTATATATTGTATTATATAGGAGTCCTGCAAGGTCGGCGGTTCAAGCTCACCAGCTGCTCCTCCGAAACCCTATCTATACAGGGTTTCAATGGATTGGAATCAACTCAACAGCACTTAACAATATAGCGTAACAATATAGCGTATAGTATTAAACTGTAAGGAGCTCTGGTAGTGTAGTGGTTACGAATCAGGCTGTGAACCGCAAGGTTAGCAGTTAGAAACTACCAGCTGTTCCACAGGAAAAAGAGGAGGTTTTCTGCTCCTGTAAAGACTCAGAAACCCTTACAGGGTCACTATGAGTCAGAACCCACTCCAAGGAACATAACAAAAACAATTAAGAGACTGTACTAGGCCTCATGTTCTTTAAAAAACAACAACAACAAAAAAAACACACCAACACCATTACCTAACTACTTCAGTTAGTCAAGAGATGAGCTCTCATTTAACATTAATTGCCAGTCCAAAACTAATACATAATTTCTATTTTATGAAAATATCATTCCCATTTTTGAAACACATGTCTTATTTAAATAACAAATATTTCAAACAGCACTATTTGCTGTGGCAAATCACTGCAACAGAGCAACGTAAATATTAAGCAGGAAATGATTTAGTAAGTTGTGTATCTGTATCACCTAACGACTGTTGTATGAAATCAAGTCAATTCTAACTCAGTAACCCTATATGACAGGTGCTAGACAGAGTAGGAGCACCAAGTGGAAAGAATGAGCTCCAAATTTAATGTTATGATATCTATGATCCATTCTTAAGTAGAAAAGCAAATTTCAGAATGCCCCCACAAACAAATTAAGACTCGTATTTAGTGACATTTTTACACATTAAAACTCTGGGTAAAATTAGGGTAGACACAGCTAATGATAAAATGAGTATTTTATTTATTTAAGCTAATATTTATAAATCAGCCAGCCATACTGGTACTATTTCTTACCAAAATTCAGTAAAATACAAAACAAACATCTTTCTACAAATATTCAAATAATGAACAAGTCAGGGTCTACAGTTAAACAGAGGAGATGGACGGATAAAATCAATGAAGCGCCTTTATAAACCTGATCCTTCACTACAAATTGTCTATTAAGCATCTTTCCAAGTACTATAAAATACAAATAGTCCTTTATAACATATCTTTGTACTTTGAGTTTCTATGAAAACCTGGGTCAGTGTCCCTCTTCTAAATCTACACAATGGGAGTCCTGGCATGGCACTGTGTGGGTTAATGCGCTGGTGGACTGCAAGGTCAGTTTGAACCACAATCAGTGGTTCAGGCTCACCAGCTGCTCCTCAGAAACCCCGCACACAGGGTCGCTATGAGTCCCGGAACCCACTGCACTCAACAAAATCTACACAATAAAAACCAGGATATCAAGGCAGTAGTGATATATAGTTCTGAAATAAGAAGTCCTACGATAAAGGAGCTCTGATAGCATAGTGGTTACGAATTGGGCTGCGAACCTTAGGGTCAACAGTTTGAAACTACCAGCCGCTTCGTGGGAGAAAGATGAGGCTTTCTACTCCTGTCAAGATTTACAGCCTTGGAAATACTGTACAGGGTCCCTATGAGTCAGAATCAACTTGATGGCACTTAACAACAATAAAGGAAGTAATGCAACCACTGCCCAGAGATTGACATGGAATTCTATGCCCTTGTCACACCTCTTCAGGTTGTATGTTCATGGAGTCATTTAGGAATAAATCTATGGTTTGTGAGGCCTCCAAATCACTGGCAGAATTTTGCTGGAACTGGGGCAGAAGGAATTCCTCCCCACAGATCTGAGACTGGTTGTTCCAGGCCTGAGTGTTCCAGGATTGGTTATTCCAAGCTTGGGTGCACCAAGCCTGGCTGCTGCTCCAGGTCTGGTTGCTCCAGGTTTGGCTGCTCCAGGTCTGGTTGCTCCACATTGGAAGGTTTCCAGAAGGCAGGTATCCCTGGTGATAGGAAGCACAGAGGTCCAGGTATTCAGCAGGCACGGAGACCTTCTGAAAAAGAATTGTGGATTATTAGAATTGCCTGTGGCTCAAGGTTTGTATGTTTCAGGGATGAATACAAAATTCATTGAAAGAAAACAGTAGGAACAGAAAGAAACTTTCCTATTACCTGAGCCACACCATTGCTACTATTTGGCCATTTGGTGTTTTTTTGCCACCTCTTGCATTTCATTCTTTGGTTTTGGAACCAGGTCTTAACCTATAGGAAAAGATGAGGCAAACATAAGAGACTAAGAAAGACAGATGTGTAAGAATATTACTCTTTTATTCCATATAGGGTAAGTAATATTGTTCTTTTATTCCTGCCAGTTGAAAGCAACCCAAACAAGCACAAACATACCGAAAGTTCAGGTACAAAAATTTTAATGTCTGGATCCTTTCTTTAAAAAAAAAAAAACCTGAACCAATCTTTCTGAGAATAAATACCCAAAATACCTGGAGTTAGTTGGCTGCTTATTTAATAAAATAAAAACTCACTACACACACCAGGAAATTTTCATGGAAATTTTTTATCTTGCTTTTTTATAGGGTATGGTGCTATGGGATAAGGCACAGGACCACAGAGTTGGTTTGAACCACAAGTTTAGCTGAGTTCCTCAAAATCCTATATAGGGTTCCTATGAGTCGGAACTGACTTGATGGCACTTAAGGTCTTGGGGGGGGTGGGGTTCGAGCCCACCAGGCGCCACTGCTCTGGAGAAAGAGGAGATTTCTGGCTCTTGCACATTTAGTCTTGGAAAACCCATACAGGGGTCACTATGAATTGTAATTCACTGGACTGCAAATAACCACATCCACATGTTAGTCAGTCATCCTCAATCTACCCTCATATACAAGCTTATTTATATTTAAAGTGTATAATGATGGTGGAATTTCAAGTTCAGAAATTATGAAAATACCAAGTTATACTCCAAAGTACATCAAACTAAGGGAGATTTCCAGATGGCTTATAGACTCTTGAGTAAGAAAAAATTTAAAAAGATACATAATTGATACAGGGATGTTGTTGAGTACTGTGGAGTCGGTTCCGACTCACAGTGACCCTGCACAGGGTTTCTGAGGCTGCAAATCTTTACAGGAGCAGAAAACCTCATCTTTCTCCTGCAGAACAGCTGGTAGTTTCAAACTGCCGACCTTGAAGTTAGCAGCCTGATTCATAAACCACTACGCCATACAGGGATGAGGATCTGATAAATCCATTTTAAAAAGTGAACATTAGATAGAAAAGATAAAGGAAATGAATGCAATTGACAGGAATAAAAAGGCCAATAAATATATATACCAAAAGGTGGTCAGGAAACCAAACCCATTCTCCTATTTAAATTAATCTGTGTGTGTGTGTGTGTGTGTGTGTGTAGAGGCTTGTGGGTACAGCCACAAAGATGTTATTGTCTTACAAAAAGGAACCTTACTTGTTTGTAGCTAAGGTTCAGGACTTCAGAAAGTTCTTGCATCTGCTGAAGGCTGAGGTATTTCTGTTTCTGAAATCTGTCTTTGAGTATGCACAGCTGCATCTGAGAAAACACAGTTCTGACCTTTTGTTTCTTGCCCAGGCCTTTCCCTTCCTTCATTGTGCTTTTCTCTATAGAAGTGGGCAGTTTTACTTTGGGACTGGTGGAAGAATCAGGACTATCCTGAAGAAGCAGACCTATGGAAGCAGGAAGAGGAGATACTGTTGGGAATAAACAAAATAACATTTCTCTAGTATAAACATTTTCAAATACAAAAGCATTTATTTACAAACATTGTTTTCAAAGTATTTTCATAACTCTTACAACCCCCCAAAGCTAGGTAAGCATCAAGTAATTCTGAAGGGCCTGTTACTGAGCGCTTATCAATGATCTCCATTTTAACATATAATGGGAAAAAGCTCAGAGGTTTTTAACAATGTGACCAACATCATACATACATTGCTGAAAAGCAGAGAAGGAATTCAATTCAAACCTCGGGCCACATAAGTCTTTGGCAACCAACCATCTTTTATTACACGCTGATGGTCAGGACTTTCCAGTGTTATTCAATTCAGATGGTGATCGCCTAACGCAAACCAGATGTGATTTATCTGTAACCGTACTCGGCACTACATATATAATTTTCACTAGCATACAGATTCTGGATACCCTACAAAAGCAGCAATTCATTGCCCTGGTTATTTCTAAATACAGGAATGGGATTTGCAGATGTGAATTGGTTGGCTTCCATCTCAATCCACTTTGCCTTTACTGTGACCTTATCTCCAAAATAATTCCATCCTGTATAGGGTTTTCAAAAAGCAGCCAGTGAGCTTGAACAGTGAACCTTACAATTCAAACGAACTTTGCAATCCATTGCATTAACCCACAGCACCATGGTAAAAATTCAGTTTCATGTTTCTTGCCAGTAGCCCTAAGAAAAAGTCTTCCATTAATGATCCTGGACCACAAGGTTTTAACTGGAAGGTCGACGATTCAAACTCAGCTGCCGCTCCTGGGAAACCCTAAAGAGGGTCTCTATGAGTCAGAACCGATATTGGCAACAACTAAAAAGGAGTCCTGGTGTGGCACTGTTAGACAAACACTGGTCCACAAGTTAAGTATTTCAACCCAGCACCCTGTTTCTCCAATGCTTGAAATAATTATAAAAAACAAGGAGAGTGACACGAAGCTTAGAAAAGTTGCATATTAAAATCCAACACTCAAAAACTGTCATTTTGCTCATTTATTCCTCAACTACCATTTAGAATTATTAGCCAAACTGAAAAATCCCACCTCTAGCCACTTTGATAAGCGGATTAAACTTTCTGAAATTGTTTTTACCATAAAGTGGTGTGAACACTTCTTTTGAGTTTTAAGAGAACTGGAAATGTTAGGTAGAACATAGCAGATACTCAAACTCAAGAGCTCAATATTATCCATGCACCCAAAGGGTAGGAGAAGAGCCAACTATCAGTCTTTATTTTAAATACAGTAAAATGCTTCTAGACAAGATAGTAACTAGCCATGCCCTGCCTGACACTGAATAATAGACAAAATGCTCAACTTATCAATGTGTTCTGACCAATGAGCAGAACATTTACTGACAACTTTGTACTTACTCAGTATTGTAATGTTTTAATAAAGATTTATGCATCAACTCATTTAATTATTATAAAAACACATTCGTATTCCTCCCACAGTATCCAAGTTCACAGGTTCTCAATAACCAGCAGGAACACAGTTGAACCGCTGGCTGTGCTCTTGCCACTTAGTCCTACCTAATCGACACGTGGGACATATTTAAGGCACGAGTCACAAGTTACAATTGAAAGAGGGTGTCAAGAGGCTTAATAGATAACAGCCCCTGCTTATATTAGAGATAGAATTGTTCCAGAGATATGGAAGACCCTCAATCCTTTTATCTTTCCTTAGTCAAAAGTGTCTATTTTTTCTTACCAGTATCTGAGTAGAGTGCCTCCACAGACGACATTTGCAAGGATATATCATTTTTTTCAGCCTCCAAAATTGTAGATAATGGTGAAGAGACTCTAGAATCACAAGCCTCAGGTAGGCTTTGAGAAATTAGATCCGCCACACTCATGTTGTTGAGTAGAAGGGAGGGAGAGAAAAAAAAAAAAAAAAAAAGACCTAGACTGAGTAAACCAAAGTCAAATTGAAAGGTGTTTTTGAGTGTATAATTTGAAAGTCCTCAAAATATAAAGAGCATTAAAAGACTGAGGTGAAGAGAATTGTCTTAATAGCAACTGGAGACGAGCCCCATGCAGCAAAAAAGAATCTGAAGTCTGAACTTATAAATGAAGGCTCAGTATATAGCAAAGGCCTTAGACCAGCCCCTTCTGGCCACCCTCAGTCCTTCACACACCCCGGCGAATTCCCAGTTAATCCTGTCTGCCAGTCTCATCAAGGCCATTGTAATGCAAAAGTTCCTGAAAGTAGAGCTGCAGGATAACCCAGACTGGGTGGAGAAGGAACTAGGAACCTGGGGCCAAAAAACAGACAAGGTAAACCCAACAATTAAATACTTACAACACGTTCACCATGTTTCTACCTGTTAAATAAGTTACCCCTCAAATTCAATTATTGAAACTTGCATAAGGACACTAAAATAAACCCACTATGATTGAGTCCATTCTGACTCATAATGACCCTGCAGGGTAGGATAGAACTTTTCCTCAGGGTTTCCAAAACTCTCAGTCTTTTTGGGGGGCAGACAGCCTCTTTTTTTCTTCATAGAATGGATAGTGGATTTGAACCATTGACATTAGTGTCTCAAAGACTGCCAACCCTTGACAAACGCCTCAATTAGCTCCATTTTCTTTTTGATTCACTAAGATCACATTAAAATACAAACATCATTGTAGTACTGTTTCCAACTCCCATCTTGTGTTTCAATTTTATCAGGACTGTTATTAGGTGCCATCTAGGGAACCCCAACTCACAGAGACTCAAAGGAGTTGCAACCTTTTAACAAATACGTTCTGGTGATTTCTGTGAACAATTATGGAAAATTTTAAATTAGCTTTTATGCCCAAGATACAGTATAGAATTTTGGCCCACATACTTATTAAGTCTGTTTACTCATTTGTAACTAGGGGTCATAAGTCAGTGGATCATTGCAAGAATTAAGGAAGATAAAGTGTGAAATATACATCGTATTTGACATATCAGAGAAGTCTCATTAGGATCCTGTGCCTAGGTCCCCCAAGTTGGAAATGACCTTTTTGTTATGATTTCCAGTTTAATCAAATGAGCAACATGATAGAATGAAAACGGGAGCAGGAAGCCTCATCTTTCTCCCGTGGAACAGCTGGTACTTTCGAATTGCTGACCTTGAGGTTTGCAGCCTGATTCATAACCACTATGCTACCAGAGCTCCTTAGATTGTTTTCTAGGCTGTAATATTTATGGAAGATCATCAGATCTTTTCTCCTGTGGAGCCACTGCTGGTTGGAACACCAAACTTGCAGTTAATAGTAGCCTAGACTTTTAACTGTTGGCACCACCAGGGATCCTTTTAATTGGCCACAAAACCAACCCAGGACTCTTGGTGTGGTGCTGTCGGATCAGCACTGGACTGTGAACCACAATATCAATGGTTCAAACCCATCAACTGCTCCTTGGAAGCCCTATACAGGGTCACTATGTATCTGAACTGACTCGAGGGCACTTAACAACAAACCAATCCAATTGAAAGGAAGAAGATAAAAAGCATAGAATTACCAAAATATTTGAAACAGTTTTTGTCCTCTGGTCTTTCCCAGTTGATCATCCTTTGACCTTTGTCCCCTGACTTTTTCTTTGATTAGCTTTTCCATCTTAAGCTTTGCCTATTGCCATGTCTTTCAATCTTAACCCCATATTCAGGTCTTATCCCTGTCCAATTTTTTTTGGCATATTTTCCAGAGGAACCAAGTTTCTAGAGGTGAAATTCCATCAGTAATGTAGTAATGGACAACACTAACAGTTAACAGCTTTCAATCTTCCTCTTCATTTCTAAATGCAATATTCAAGGAAGATAAGATTTCTTTGCTATTGACAATTTCCCACACATAGCAAATCTCAATTACATATTTTTCTAAGACTCATTCTAAGATTAATCTTGCCATTCACTTTCTGCTTGGGTCTCCATGGACAGCTGCTAGCTTTGCTTCTGAGTTTTGTTCACAGTGCAAAGATGTGAACTTGAAAGGGTAGGAGGAATATTGCCAAGTTCAAAGCAGGTGGATGACACTCAGCAAAACTTTTTCTTTGTCTAATCAAATCATTGTTCTGGAGGTGAAAAGAGTAGGAACAGGGGTAGCAGGGAGAGGGTGAATGGAATTTGATTCATTGAGGTTCAAGCAGATAGTCTCAGTCCCATTAGAAGTAGGATGTGATTTATTTTTAAATAGGGACTTCTGGTGTGGTGCTGTGGGCTAATGCCTCAGACTGCAAAGTCGTTGGAACTGCAAGGTCAGTGGTTCAAGCTCACCAGCCACTCCTCGGAAACCCTGTACAGGTTTGCTATGGGTTGGAATTGACTCGACAGCACTCAACAACAACCTCTCAACCAGTGAATAGAGTAGTCAGGGCCTTCAAATACCTGGGTTGGCCTGCTGCTCTCTCAACTGCTAGTACTGGGAAGCTTTGTTTTTTTCCAACTGGGGGGTCTTTGCATGAAAGTTGGGGTGAATTCATCCCATCCCCCCATCCAGTCCCATTGAATCTAGGGTGAGAGTCTCTGGTGTGAAAGACCAAAGGAAGGGAAGGGGGCTGGTAACTAGAAGGTCGATTTAAGGCATTCTTTGCCATGGAAAGCCATTTGAATAAGGTTGAGAATGCTTTGGAAGCTGTAGGAGACTGCATTTGGGAGGATGAGCTGTGCAGGTGGAGGAGGGGATGGGTGGGCTGGATTATAATGAGCTGAGGTCTGGAACTGAAAATGTAAAACTAATTCACTGAAATCCTGACTTCACATTTCATTCTAAAAAGATTGCCTGAGAAAGAAAAAAAAAAAAGCAAAATAAATGAAAATTAATTAAAGATAAAATTTATTCTTTATTTATAGATGCAAAACACACATTAGGCCACACAATCTGTTTTCTAACTCAGAATTTATTGCTCATTAACACTGTGGGTTAATGCACTGGAGTGCAGGGTCAGTTTGAACTGCGAAGTCGGTGGTGCCAGCTCACCAGCCACTTTGGAAACGCTACACAATGTCGCTATAAATCAGAACCAACTCAAAGGCACTTAACAACAATACACATATACTAATGTATATATTGATTACTCAATAAGAAACAACTAATTAGGTGTTTATTAGGTACAGTGAAATGATGTAATGAGAGAAATAGGAATAGAAACATATATATGAGAATTAAATAAAAATAAGTGAATGACTACCAGCTTGGATATACACAAGTAAATCCAAGTGCTCAGTGGTGTAAAGAGTGAAATCAGTGATGAGTCAATAATGAATTAAATAGTTCCACTTCAATTTGATGTCTACAGCCTAAGAATGGAGGGGTGGGCTGTATGTCTATAGTCTTCACGATTGTCATTTCCTTTCTACCAAGACAAACCAGGAAAGAACAGAAATTTGATGGAAAAAGCAGTAAATTTTAAGTTAGAAAGCAAATATTCTATCTACCTGAACTACCTTTGTGAACTCATCCTGTCTTAAGATTCTGTTGTTGTGAAGTGCCATCTGTTCCCACTCGTCATGACCCTCTCTATATAGAGTTTTAAAGGACCTTGTGGTTCACAGTCCAGTGCTGATCCTATAACACCACACCAGGAGTCAGTCATAAGACTTTGTAGTGTGTGTGTAAACATGCTGTCGAGTTGTTCTGGCTCATAGCAACCTTGTATAGGGTTTCTGAGAAGCAGCTGGTGGGTTTGAACTACCAATTTTGGCATTAGTGGTCCAATGTTTATTCTACAGCACCACACCAGGACTCCTGGATGTCTAATGTTGCTATTGTTAAGTGCAATCAAGTTGGTTCTGGCTCTTAGCGACCCTGTGTAATGTTTCTGAGGAACAGTTGGTGAATTTGAACTGCCGACCTTGCAGTTCAAATCTACCTTGTGGTCCAGTGCTTATCTTACAGTGCCACACCAGGATTCCATAGGCATGTCTAATAAGCATCTCAAAACTTAATATTTTCAAACAAACCCCAATGTTCCTTCATAGACAGGCTTCTCCCATAGCATCCTCCATTTCAATCATGAGAATTTCCCCCTCCCCCCTGATCAGGTCATAAAACCATCTTTGTTGACAATACTTCCAAAATACATAAAGAATACAATGATGTCTTTCTTTTACTTGTTTTTCCCTTCATATTTGTTTTTTTTTTTTCACTGGTAGGGTATTTCTTTTGGAAAAAAACAGAACACGTTGCATGACAGAAGATTTTCAATGACTTGTATGCCATTGGTGTGTATGTCACTCAAAACCCTTCTTTGGCTTTTTTCTGTTCACAAAGGTCTTCCATCTGGCCTTGCAATTTTCCTCTCTGACTTGTTTTCTTCCCACCCCATGAACTCTTTGAGGATTTTCAAACAAGTTAGGGAAGCTCCCGAATCAGAGCTTTGGTTCTTTGTGTCTCTCTAGATCACTCTTCTCCAGAAATCTAACTGGTTTCATATCTTACTCCATTTAGACTTGTATTCCAGCAGTTCCTTGGAAACCCTATACAGGGTCATTATGAGTCGGGACTGACTGGACAGCACTTAACAACAACAACAATCACCTTTTCAATATCGTCCACTCTCTAGTGAAGATATTGACAAGGTAATACTAGCATACAAATCTCTCCTCTATTTTATTAGTCTTCATAGTACATACACCTTCTGTCCATCCATCATCTATATTCGCACACTTGAATATAAACTCCATGAGGACAACTATTTTGAGTTTAGCTATTTCTTTTTAGTGTGGTATCCCCAGTCCTAAAACTGGTCCACAGACTATCAATAATATCAGCCTCCTATAGGAGCTTGCTAGAGATACAAAGTGGAGAGCTTCACACTGAGTGGTTGAACAAGAATTTGTGGTGAGGACCAGGAATCTGGGTTTTGACAAGTTCTCCAGGAAAT